GAAACTCATCTAATTTAAAGTTTTCATCATTTTACGGTCATGAATGGTTGATGTGTACAACATATGTCCTACAATCTTACTAAAATATAAAGCTCGTAGCAGTTTAAATATTAACAACAATATTAAATGTCATAATATACATTACTGCATGACCACAATTTAGGTCAACGAATGCAATGGAAAAGGATAATGTATCAGAATTCCAAAGACAATTACTGACAGAAAAAGGAATATAATTCCAATCAATTTTGAGCAATAATAAAGAGCTCAGCTCATTACAGTGAATGATTCTGGTGCGACTTTCAATTTTTGAAAAGAACTATTATTAACCGTTTGATGATTTTCTTCAAGGGTTGGCGATTTTTGAAAATAAAAATAAATGTCTTACGTCAACGCTTTCAATAGTCTTACGACATTTCTAGAACAATACTTTTTCCCCAAAACTATAAAAATCCCTCCTTACACTCCTGATTTGGAGAAACTTTCATACCGAGAAATAACGAAAAAAATTAAACTATTTATATTATTTTATAATTGTATTTTCATTTGCACCCTTTTCAATAACAGGAAAGGAATACAAATTATTGGTAACAGAATGTGCTACCGTTCTTGGGGGGAGGAGGAGGGTCAGCGACCATCCTTGCTTAGTACAGTACACTAGCGGATCATTGATTTAATTTTGGGGGGGGGGCTTCAGCCCGAAAGCTTTTTTTTTCATAAAAAATGACGATAATTACTTTGGAAAAAAAAGATAGAAGCTAACTACCTATATGAAATTGTGTTTAAGTGATTCCTAAAGTTCTTTAAAATGTAATTACACGAACAATAATATTTCAAGAGATAATTTTTAAATATTTTTTTCCATAAAACATTATTATATTTCACCATTTTGGAGAGGGCTTCAGCCCCAAAGGCCTCCCTCCTCCCGTGCAGTGGTTAATTAAAAAGCCGTTTGTAAACCAACAGCGTTATGTTATAACTCGATTATGACAACGTTAATGGATCATTACATTTACGAGTAATTATCTCAGTAAAAATGATTATGATAAAATCGATAGTAAACTGCCGGTCGATAGTATCGAAATTATAATATATACATCCTGAGCCTTCGAAGTATCAACTACTGTTCTTATAACCAGTAGCTTATTTAAATCGTGATAACTAAATTGAATCTCAGAAAGCTCGAAAAAATGTTGGACTATCACACATTAACTACAGCTCTTTGTTGTTTTTTGATGTTCAGAAATATCTTTTGTAATCGAGCGAGCAAGAGGAGGCCTTGTTTGCTAAAATATTATCGGTATAATCATTGAAATCTTAAATATAATACATTTCAATTTTGTGAAAAATCAAGATGATCATTTCACCGATAGTGAAAATGAAATTTATGGGTAAGAAATGTTTACAGATGGGAAAGTGAGTCTTGGTCTCACATTTGGGCAACACTAATGAAAGGAGTTCTAATGTAAAATATGACCATTTCCAGAAAATTTCATCTACTTGAATTTAATGGTATTAATAAACAAATAATTTAGTGATTTCTAAATAGATTACAATTTACATCTTTGGATGAATGTTTGATTCAGCTATGTCAACACTTTATTGATATGTGTTAGGGCCGTTGCTGTTTCATAAGTTAATTTTGGTCGCTCACTAAAGTTTATAAAGTTATCATAAAACTAGTTAATTTTAAGAGAACTAGAGAGACGCAGTACATTCCTCACATTTGTCGCGGAGTGTGGAGAGATGGTTTAAACTAGCTAGTCAGTCTTTCTGTAAACTTTTAATTATTAATCATTAGCAAATAATTAGTAGCTAGCGAAACCTGAAAGGTAATTATTTAATTTAAGAGACAGTAGAAAACTCTTATCTCGTATTTTATAACAATATAATAAAAATTGCATAATTGTAATTTATAACAATTACCTCGTAATTTAATTACGCGAATGGATTTCCTCAAATATATTATTAGTATTGATACATAATATATTTCATTAAAGAAAATTATGTCTGTATTTGGATAATTATATGACTTTTCTATATAATTTGTATGGTCTTAAATTTGTCTTTAATATTATGTAGGTCAATTTAGTATGCATTGCATTTGTCTAACGAAAGGTTTTGTACCCAAAGTTAGCTCAGCATAATGGTAATGGAATCATTTTTAACTTTATTAGATATAGGAGGCTTTGATTGTCAAGTTTGGAGTGATTTTGAAATATTTGAGGTAATATTTAATCATTTAAATTTTGTGCAAATTATTAGATTAATCATAACTAATTGGATCAGATTTTACTGAAATTGAAATAAATGTGCAACAAATATAATAAATAAGTAAAAAAATTAACGTTACAAAAATATTCAATAGTCTGAACTTCCATCACTCATCCCTACAAAATCAAGACTAACCTACAAAATATATTCAAACCAAAGAATATATACTGCCTTTAGCGATTGGCCCAAATTAATTAGTATATATCGTGCATCAAGAACAAAAGGTCTACTAACTGAAAAAAATTGTTTTATTTTTTTAAAAAAGTAGTCCAAGATGTTAACTTTCACTAGAAAAATTCGTATTCTACTAAATTAACAGTAAATCCAGTTGGGAGCGCCACGAATCTCTTTTCTTCGAACCCAGTTGTCTGGTTCTAACGCTCGCCTAAAAAAATCACGTGTTTTGAGTTAATACACTTTCGTTCGGGATGGACGATATATATTTATGAGTTAGTCAGTTAGTTCATGGTGGTTTTAATTAGTCATATTGCGGATAACGTAAGCCCACCGAAGAACATTTAAAAAATTAATTTTAAAACCAAATATTTCGATTTCGATCTCTCTCGATAGGCCTCCCTCGAAACCTTGAATCCCTATCTCTGTATCTGAACAATACCCATATTACAGAAGTAAAAGTAATAATATATAACATAAAACTAAGAAACAGTTGCTTCATGTTAACGATGGAACACACAAACATTAAAAGGCGAGGAAATCAGGTAGTGCAAAACTTTGTCAGAGTGAAGGAACAAGATACATTTGAGGATGTGGCAGGCAGCTAGTTTGTATCCACCGGCCTTACAAGATCAAAGCTATCAGCAGCCTATTATTTAAAAAGTGAGCAAATGCCCATTACAATTGCTTTCATTCGAATCTGTTTGAGAAACCCTTTTCGGAAAACATATTTTCGAAAAGCATTTCTGAAATCACACCGTCGAAGCAACTGTTTTGGTTGAAAACTGGCTCAGGTAAATTGAATGACAAAATCAAATCTCAAGTGAAAATGTACTTTATTTCGATTAATTATACAAGAATTTTTCTCAAAAATTGTTTTCAATATAGTTTTCATCAGTTGCTGCTGAAGGTTAAAGGAAAGGATTTTGGTTGAGGTGGAGAAGTGGGAATGGGGAAGAGCAGTGGTTTTTCCGATGCAACACCCTTTAAATCAGGCACTAAATGACTAGCATACAATTTAGTATATATCTCCCTCCCCCCCTTCACGTTCTTATCCTATTCAAAACAATAAGACAAAAACTCCGAAAACGTTTTTAGAAAACCAAGGACAATACAAAGGAGGCCTTCGGTACTTGTTATACGCGATTGATATGTCACGAAAAATATCGAGATCTGAGACTCGTAATAATATTCAATCACAATATAATCGATCAAAATACATAAATACTAGCAAGGTTTATCTCGGTAATATTTACATTATCAACAAAGGTAAAATTGCGCCCTTTAAAAATAAAGAGCAAAGCCTATTTACACGACATGCACATACATGTATATGCATAAAATAAAGCTCATCAAAAGCATTTCGTTCTCTTTTTCGTAAAATCGAAAATTAAAAAAGTCCTTACGAATAAACTTAAAGATTCAATGAGACAAAGATCGTTCGGTGTTACATATCTATTTACAAATCTTTTACTAAATGCAAAAATAAATTACTATTACAGAAAACATTTATAGTTGAATGTGTGGCGAGTGGAAAAGGTTCCGTTTGAGGTTTGAATCCCGAATGGAAATCCCTTCCACAATGTTAAGGCACATGTGACTGAACTGAATGAGGCGTGGCTGGGGTTGAGCGGGGGAACCCCCGACACTCTGCAACACCGACACTTCTACTGCTTCACCTAGATCTGCTACTCATTTATCACTCACATCTAAGACATATTTAATAAGAGCGGACAGACAACGGCCGCCATAGTTGCACTTCACTTCTACTTTCGTATGTATGAGCTGAGAATATTTAACTGATATTATGGAAATATATTATAAGAAAATTTATTATATAGAAAGTCTTTGCTATTTTTAATGATGGCATTATCTGAGTTACTAATTATCTTCATTTCTATAGGTCTACTCCGTTAAAAAGATAAAGATAAATAAAATGTGATAATAAACATTATTAAAGTAATGAATTTAGAGTAACAAATTAATAACGATTTGGAAGTGCAATAGGGTTTGGCAGAGGTCCGTGCAGAGGGAGTGAGGAGGAGGAGCGCCGATGTTGCAATGCGTGCCTAGATGAGGCAAGGCTCCAACCCGGGCAGCAGCCGCCTGCAAAAGAAAAACGGTACCAGTAATCTGGGCCCAATATAGTTATAAAGTTTGTGACACCAAACCCATCTCTGGCCCCCTGTACCACTTTACAAAAATATATTTAGTCTACCCGATCGTAATAACTTATGGCAACTGGAGCGGATGCGTTTATCAAAGGAACTGTTTGATCTTCAGAACCGGAAACGGGCCTGGCCCCGATAAGGGATAATATAAAAATATAAAGGAAATCATTCCGACTAAGAGAGGAAGCAGTCTTCGAGAGGTCCCTGAGATGGCGGGGGCAGAGATGGGGCGCTCAGACCAACTGCTTGTCGTCTGGAATCGAGTCGCTGTCGCTACAAGAGTCACCGCTCGACTCCTTCTTAGTCCCGTTGTGAGTTTTGACGTGCTTGGCAAGGTGGTCTGAGCGCATAAACCTCTTGTTACATACTGGACAGGCGAACCTTTTCTCTCCGGTGTGGGTGCGGAGGTGGCGCTGCAGCTCGTCCGACCGGGTGAACCGCTTCCCGCAGAACAGCCAGTTGCAGACGAAGGGTCGCTCTCCAGTGTGCCACCGCAGGTGCGCCTTCAGGTGGGACGTCTTCCCGTAGACCTTGCCGCAGCCCGGGATGTGACAGCTGTGAATGTTCTTCTTGCGGAGGTGCACCCCCGCAGGCCCGAGGCGCTCGGCCTCCTGGCAGTTGGGGCAGTCGCAGGTGGCCCGCCCCGTGTAGCGCCGCTGCGACCGCGGGGACGGCGCCTGAGGCGCTGGGGCCGGGGGCAGGAAGGGCGCCCCTTGCCCCGGCAGTACTTTGTAATCCTGGAGCAGGTGCTGCGGCCCCAGGCCGAGGCTGTACTCCGGACCGTAGTTGACCTGGCCGTGCGCCATGTCGAGCCAGCCACCCGGACCCGGCACTTCCCACCAGCCAGCGTTTTCGGGTTTGACGTGGTGTGGGCCGAGACTCCAGCCTTCATAAGGATGCCTGCTATAGACTGCTTCGACCTTGCCCAGTTCGGATCCTGTTCCTCCCCAGAGTTCTCCGGAGGAGGTGTAGGAGCAGCTGCTGACAGGAGGTCGGCTGTAGCTGGACGTGGGAGGCTGAGGACTCTTCTTCCAGGGGTGGAAGCCCTTCCCGACGGCAGCGTCTGCCAGGGGTGGGGGCGACTTAGAGGATAGCTTGTTGCACTGAGCCGCTAGCATCGCCAACGGTGTCCCTCGCAGGCCTGGGTGTTCCTGCAACAGAAAGACAAAAATTTGTTACTATACATATTTTTAACAAGCAATAGATAGTATTAGTATAAATAAATATTGTTGAAGTAGGTGCGATATGTTGATAATAAAGTAGGTAAAGATTTAAGTGGTATTTGAGAGCGCTCTAGAGGAGGAATTACGTTTTTATTTAAACAAGTCCAAAGAACGTTACAAAACGTTTATAAATCCGTTAATATAGTTTATTTGCTAACTCATGAAGCTATCTTGCCGTCCACCGAACATGTTAGCGGACGAAATGGCCGAGCACATTGGGGTGTGGAGTTTTCAAAGTAATAAAAACATAATATATCTTCTACATTCAGGAAACTTAAAATAATTAATTATGAGGGGAAACAAATGCTAAAATACTTGCTATTTTCTGAAGCCACCCTTCCTCTTTATGTTATTATCTTTTTAAGCTGTTCTGGAATAAAGTTGAGGATTACTATTGATGAAAACCGTGCGAAGGTTAATAGGTACACTGAAGTTATTTCATCGCCCCCGTCATCTTCCAGAAATTATCCGATTGCTTCTCGTATCATCATCGATTTTTCTTATCTTTTACTACGGTTCTGTGGCATAATGGGGCCTCTCTATTTTGCTAAAAACTGAAGCGAATATTGAATTGCTTATTAAGATTTTTTTTCGGTGCTTCGAGAAGTCTCTTCCAACTTTCCAACGTTCGTTTCTTGTCTGCTCCGTTACCTACTGAAATTCCCTAGGATTTCCACCATGCCTCTCTGCCATCATTCAAATACCTTCTTTTTAAATAAACTCCAAACGCTCTGCAAACGTGAAATTACTTTCTTATGAATGAAATTTTTGAAGGTGAATAATAGTTTTTAATATTTATTTTAACATAAAAAATCAACGCTTTGTATTTATATATTTTTTTCTTCTTATTTTTTATTCATATTTTGTTTTCCTCTTTTCATTACAGCTACATTTATTTCCTGAGAAGATTTTATTTTTAGTTGTTTAGGTATTGTTAACAAAGTTTATGGTCTGATTTATTTTTTGTTTATTTGTACAAATTACTATTTGTTTACGTTGTTCCGGAATTCAGTTTATTTTCCATCTATCTAAACAAAAATCAGATCTTCCTTTCGATGGCTCGTCTACTAGATGATAGATTTTAAATTACAAATTGTTAAACAGGTGATAATAACTATGGTTATTTAAGATAGTGTGAAGATATGAAGACCGGGTCCTAAAGATTGAAAAGAAATGTAAAATGTAAACAGAGAGACAGTGGATTATTGACAGGAAGCTGCAGATGTAGTAAGGTACTATTTGGCTGGCGCGGTCGACGACAGCGACTGCTATTCCCCCTCGCCAACCGCTGTTGGCGTATCTATTTCGCTGAAACTGCTCACTGGGGTTGTTATAACCTGCCTATAACCTTCGAACATTTCGCTGTATCTTTGAAGATAAAAAGATAGACATAATATAAGAATAAAAATGAACTTCCTATAATAATGAACATCTCTAACTACCGCTTTTTTATTTGAGTTGGAAAAAGAAGAGAAAATGTTGTTCATAAAGAGAAGGAATATCAGTATTTCGATGTGATGCTCATCATCAAAGTTCCTCTGATATTACATATTATTAGTTTGAAAAGTAATAGTAATTAATACATAATTGGTTAGTAATAAATATCATATATTTGTAATTAAATCTCAGCAAGAGATGTTTTATAGTTTTATCAATAGTAATCAGTAAATCACCACTTTAATTAAAAAATACAAATCGTTTTTTCAATGGGTGGATTTTAGTATTTACCTGACGATAAAATTTGTTGGATTCTTTAATTTATTTAATATCGTTTGGATTTAGGTATATTTGTATTTCGCTTTAAAATATTGCTGGTGGAATAAATAAATAAATAATCTTGTTACTTCAACCTCAAAAAAATAATTTACTATTGCATTATTTCAGTTTTAAACAATATTTGTTATAATTTTGCCAGACTTGAAAGAAACATAGGAAATAAAACGTATCGACGGGACTGTTATCATCAAAACAATGCTCTGATATGATAACATAACCTACAACCGCCGAACCGCCAACAGCTCCACTGCTTCAAGAGGAGTCAGATACGAGCAGCTTAGATATGACGTCATACCTAAACTGCCGAGCAGCGCCAGCGAAATAGGTTCCTTTCTATTCCACTAAAGCAGTGGACAACCGCGAGCAGTCGCGGTCGTGGACCGCTCCAGCGAAATAGTACCTTAAGGGAATGCGTAGGATGAGAAGGTGGATCAATGCCGTCCCCAGCTGGACCAATGGCAGCTCTCCTAACAACCTCATCCGACCAATAGGAGCACTCCTTAGGAGCGGCTGTCTCCTCTATGCTATATCTTACACCGATGCTGTGTATCTGAGCTGGCTGGGCTACCGCAATCCATACATTCACAAGAAACCCAGGACATCTAATACTCCTCTAAAAATACTCTATAAATAGCTCGTCTTATTCCGGTTATTGTTAAATGTCATTAAAGTTTGATATAATTAGAATATTCCAATACAAGTCCCGTAGTTCTCAAAAACAATATTTCAGTATAATAGTAAATAATCTACCACTTTTGATTTGGGCAATAACTGAACAGAAAGAGATCCGATCACGTAAATGCAGACGAAAAATTTGATTGAACATTTTAATTCTAATGCATACATTTTTTGTGATCATACGAAATTTATTGTTTTTAATTGTCTCAATTGTTTTAAAATTTTGAGTTATTATTAAAAAAAAAATTGTTTACTCCATGTTACTAGTACTGGCACTCGAAAATCACTGAAGACTATCATAATTAACCTCGAACGACAAAGAGTGTCTTCAATCGATGTTTTAAGGACACTTTGTTCAATTTATACAGAACAATTACACTGTTATAATTTATATCAGAACAAATAAAATAAGAGATAGAAAAAACAGTTATCAAAGTGGCAGACTAAAATAAGATAAGGAAAAATTCGGGAAAAACATAAAGGTTCTTGTAGTAGAGAAAAAGAAGGATGAAAGTAACAAATGCACAGAGGAAAGAAGGAGGTTTTAATAATATTTATGATATTACACAAATTTTATATATACATAGCCCCATGTAAAAAATATTAGAAAAAAGGAGGAAGTGGTCAAGTCCGAATTATAGAACGTTCTCTCCCCTTCTTGTTAAGGAGAGGATTTCGAGTTATTGAGTGTATGAAGCATTTTTTCGATTTACCAGAGTTTGAATTACCGAGAGTCGACTTTATAGCGAAACATAAGAGACAGCAATGTACATGACCCTGGTGGTCTAAACACTTAAATAGATAAATACATAAAATGTCGTTTTTTTTTTTAAATGTTATTATATATATATATATATATAAATATATTTGCAATCTTTATAATTAAATCCGTTTCAGGCTCCTAATTGTTTAGGTAGGCCAATGAACGAGGCGATGAGATGAGATGACTGCGTTAGAAATAATCTATCAGACTTTGTTATTTAGTTTTTGATGAGGTTTAACAAAGGAAATTTATCTTGGACATTTTCTAAAGGAAATCTATCGGGGTAGCTCAGAGGGTGACCACTGACTTCCAGAGCTCTCGAGGAACAAGGTTCGCGTCCGGCTGATGGCTAGTAATTTTTCATCGGCCGTGGATCAAGTCTGGGATAGGGAGAACCTACTAGGGCACACCCAACCTGTATAAAGGGATTATTAATAATTGAATAAGAGAGAAAAAATGACGGTTGAATCACCTCCCTGCACAATCATTGGCCACGTAACTGTACTTCCTCACATAGTACTGAAACCAAGACACTTCATGGGTTCTAGTGGTACAGGTTTTTTTATTTCTTTTCTTTTCTTTTCTAAAGGCCGAGCAGAGGATGGGTGGGAGAACTAGAATAGAGTGGAAATTTTGAGGTGTATGGATGACCTTCACTAATTCGTTGAAACATACGATTAATGGTGGTAATGGAGTTTCCGAGATTGTTAGTTAATATTGTTGCGCATATGAAGAGATAATGATCTGCATTTATTTGAAAGATGGCAGAAACGTTTAAGCGTCATGAGATATTTGTAACGCCTATTGTGGACACAAAGGTAGAGGAAAGAGGATAGTTACGAGGCTTAAACTAATAGATCTCACTGGCAGCCAACTCAACTTGACAAATGACCAACAGCTGGGTCATGTTTCATTTGTCAGCCAATAACGAGCAGAGACCAGTAGCTCATCTCCCGCTCTTAAACAACCCTCTCCTTTTTCTTCTTCTCTTACAATTAAAATTAATTAACTCACTATTTACCTTTATTATAATGTGAATTATTGCTGTAGATATTTGAATAGGTAAAGAATAAAAAAATGTTTAGCCTTCTGTTTTCCAATACATTTCTAAAAATCATAAATAGTTACGTTATTAATGAATAAATCAAAACTACAAAGCCATGAGTTCCTAACACACAGGTGAATAGTACTAACGCAATTATTTTCTGCCTCTTTTCGAACTATATTTTTATTTTAGTAATTATAAAAGATTGTCAAAAACAATAAATACTGGATCCAAGACCCTTCATCAGTTAAATTACAACACAACGAACTCACTTTATTTTTTTTTTTTGTGTGTGTATTTAATAATTGAGTCGTTTATTTCCAAAGCGAACCCCAATGATCATTGATAATTTTTCAGTACAAGCGAAAAAGTACATTTTCTATTACAATTGTAGTATCAAAACTAATATTTAAAAAAAAATTAAGAAATTATTTATTAATAGACCATATGTCTGAATACGACTAGCTATTTCGATATATATTTTTTTCAATCCAATTCTTTAATGAGAAATATTACAATCTATCACATCCAAGGGCACAAGTAATAGTGATAGAGTAGCCCATTTACACTCTATGTAGTACATAATATGTACAATAAATAAAAATGAATTAAGCAGCAAAATAATAATAATAAAAGTAAACATATATAAACAAAAATAAACTAAAC